CATCATATTGATTTCCTTGGTCTGTCATGCGCTGAAAAGTAGGCATGGAGGAACTCGATGGATTGAAATTCGAAATGGCACCAGTAGCAGTTGGACTTCTTCGGTAAAAAATGGATCGGAGATTTCCCTGTTGATTGTGGTGCCCCAAACCTGGAGACAAATGGGCCTGGGGCATAGAAGCAGTTTTTTAATGCTTTTGTACATGGCAAAAGGCCATGAACATCTAGCACTATCACCTAGTTCATTGTACCTTCCCTAGTTTGAATCCAATGCATGCTGAAAACAAATCCAAATGCATGCACCGTGACTTAGGACTTAGAAGCCTTTGGGATCCAAAAATCGCCTCTCATATTAGTGTGTGTGTATGTGCCACCCCTTCTCTTGTCAGTCCTTGCGAAACCTACCAAAACCCTGCAACCGACCCATGGTCTGGGCAGCAGGACTAGTTCGCAGTCTTCAATCAAAGGGCTGGAATCCCTGACCTGGTTGGGAGCATTTGCAGGGTCCCTGGTTGCAGGGATCATTGCGGATTTTGGACCACCCCGCACCTGTGAAATGTATGAAACGCGTCTAAATGAGATGAAGTAGGTTTGGAGAGCAAAATTTAAATATGTAAATAGTTGCTAGTAGGCAGTTAGACCTATAAATAGATCACACATTCGAATGAACAAGCACAGCTGACATCCAATAATGGCCAGTTCCACCCTACAATTGTTTTCCTCTGATTTTTTCGCCTCGGAGGCCACCTTTGGGCAAAAGACACCTGGGACTTTGCCAGACCTCCGGGCAGCAGCACACAAATAGGCGACCGGCCCACCAAGTAAGACCTTCAAACCCAGCATGACGAATCAGAGTGTGGAGAATGTGGAAAAGTTGTTTTTTCTGTAGAACCCTAACTTAGAAAAATACATCCTTACATCCCAATTTCATTAATTAAATATATTATAATTATAACTTAAAAACCCAAGTCAGTGGCACCGCCCTGCATTGCTTCGGTAAATCTGTCACCACCATCGATCGGATCATTGAGCAGTACTGATCTTCTTTGGTGGGCACGGCTGTCCCAGGAAGAAATACACCATTCGAAGTTCATTGGCCTGAAGCCTTTGCAAGGCGGAAGGATGCATTGGTGAACCCTTCCGAGCGTCACGAACAAAGGGTGACATTGGCTCAGAAGAGGTTTTCAACTATTTCATGGGTAAAATGATTAAAATATATTTAAAGATGTTCAAACTCATTGTTTGTCATCTGTGTTGGGACCAGGGAAGCCAACACATAATAAATCATCCATCTTACATACAATTTTGAGATAAGGAAGTTACACAATAATCATGAATACCGAGTTCCGACATGTTCCAGCTAGCCGTGCACCAACTCCAGATGTGTCCATCTGAAGCAATGCCCACTACCGATTCTTTCTGGACCTTCGGTCCTTGAGGTGAAACGCCACATCCACGTCACGCCACTCCTCACCTGGCAACGTCTCCACTGCGGTGCCGTCAGGCTCCGCTAAGCGGAATTCAAAGCCGCCAGTATGCCTTTGCTTGCCATTGATGCATTTTGAGATGCTGCATGTGGGGCGACCGCCCAGAGCATCTGCCGCACTTTTCAAAGAGGAATGGTACCTCCAAGAGCCGCTACTGCCGTAGACTCGACTCAGCACTGCTTTGCTCAATGGGTGGCAGCCTTTCCGGTTTGCATTATGATGAAGCATGTTTTCAGATGGAGTTGCATACTCAAGATTGGCCACAGTATTGCTACTCTTGTTTCCGTCCTTGTGATTGATTTGCGTGTGGTCTGACGTGGATGGTGGGTCGAGAAAAGTAGCTGCCACTACACGGTGAACAAGCTCTCTTCGCCAGTGGCCATTTACCTTCACGTACGTGTATACGTAGCCATCCTTGCCACAAATTCCCGTGGAGATGCGCCCTGTGTGGGACTTTATTCTACCCGCCGAGCTTACATACTGTCCATTCAATCTCAGTCCTGATCTAGGGTCAATCATGGGGTGCCACACTTCTTCTGAAATGAACCTGCCAAAGTCACAGTACTTGTATTCAAAACCCTCAGCACACGCATTCCTCCGGCACCGCCCAGAGACTGTTGACTTGGGCTGGCCAAGCTTTTCCGCCGCCAGTGTGGCCGAAGCATACCTAGTCCATTTCTGGGATCCAATATGTCTCACCATGACTAGCCTTCCTTGCCTCTTTGAATTGCGCTGTGAAGCGCTGGCATGGAATTTCAGCATGTTCTGAGAATGCGTCACCCATTCCAAGTTGATGTCCTGATTGTTGCTACAATTCCGATCTATGTGATTTACTTCCCATGTTGCCTCATCAGGTGGAGGCCCACCATGAGCATATAGAACCAATCTATGCACGCAAAACACGTGGCCCGCAATCGCTACTTTCCGGTAGCCGGAGGACCTCAGGCATCCTGGCGTAATGTTGCCCCGAGTATCCCGACATCTCCCCTTGTTGCTGACCTGCCAACACTTCCTCGGCTTGGTGCGGCTCTCCGGGGCCACTGGGATCACCGGGGCCGGGATCACCTGAAGGACCGACCATGGGGATAGGAACAAAGTCAGGAGAGCGATCCACAAGCTGCATAGCCTCCATGTGCGGCGCGCCACTTCCATTGGATGCAAGGCAGTGGAGGATAGTGGAGGTACTATATGCCCTGAGTGACTGGCAAACAAAAATGCACCAATGCGGGATCACGGCCTACCATATAATTGCACATGTTCAAAAGAACCAAGTTCAATGTTTGAGCTGTTGCCCGGTGAAATATTCCCGGAAACGATTGGAAATCACACATCATTTTCTGTTAATGGGACCATTGACGGCCCCACATTTGGAACTGACATGGCTGCACATCTCCATGACCATGGTGTGAAGTGTTCGCTTCCAAGTTCTGCCTGGTTGCGATTGAGGTGTTCAAATTTCACCACGCACAAAACCGGCAGTCCGAAACATCCTAAAACTGACCACCCGCGCTTCCAAACAAATGAAGCCACCCACCCACCTAGATACAATTCAATCTTGACCACCAGCATGAATATTGCCTTCACCAGCCAAGGTCCCTTTATGCCACCATCCGGGTCTGCCGGACGGATAAGGCATGGCATTTCGGCCTGGCGTGGCCAAAGCTGTGGCTAAAGCTTTCACCCGGACCTCTGAAAAATCTGAGTCATTTGAAAACATGTTGGCAATTATGAAATAACAATAAGCACATAAAGTCAGCCCAAATCCATCCAAACCGGTTCAAGTTCTTGAATGGTTTGGTTTTGTTGTTTGGGCTTCCTCCACCATTGCATACAATGATACCCTTTGAGCCAGGGCACTCTGCACAAAGCCGCAAGTGCCGTAGTACCTTAGAGGAATCTCATAGCAGCGCATCTTCGATATCTATGCTTTGAGCTTTAAATGTTGTTTGATGAATCGAGCATGTAAATTGCCTCCGTTTGCTTTTTCCGTACATCTATAGAATTTCAAAGAAATAACGCTGCAATCTTAGTAGCCTTCTTAGATGTTTCCCCTTGGTGTCCTTATCAACTGACGTCAAGCTTCAAGGGCCGGCCTGGCCATGCAGCCAAGGTGCACAGGAAGAGCTTCCGCCCGAGATCACAACCCCCTCAGGCCTCACGGGCGCTTCGATTGAATGCCAGAATCAGGTGGAGGAGAACCGCTGCTGATGTGCTTTTCTCAAGAAGGGCTCGCAAATATTGAACATGGGCCATGGGTATTTATACTGTAAAGAAATTCTACGATTTTTTTGGTTCTCATGGCTAAGGGCGCGGTACCTATATATTGCCTACTATTGATCGTTTGAATTTGAATTTCTTTTATTCCGTGGTTGATTTAACGCCTATCTCTGTTCACAAATGTGCTTCCCCGCCCTCCTTTGGCTTGTGGACGAACAATCGTGGTGAGGTTTTATCATGGGGCATTCCCTATCATTTCCTGCTGGGAAAGAATATGCATATGGAACAACCAAACTCTGCTGGCCTCATACCTAAGAATCTTGGCACAGAGTCCCATTAAGGCAAAACATCCCCACCACCACAACATATACAGCACCATTTGTTTCGTTTCATTCTGGCTGAATTTGTACAGGGGTCTTGCCTTCATGTTGGGTCTAAAACTGAAATTCACTGAATGAGGCTCCCTGAAAGAATAGACACAGAATGGCATACTTCAAAAAGGCAACACCCATCAACTTTGCATACCTACGTGTCAGGCACGTCACTGACAGCCAAGCCATGGTTGCTGCAGGTGTGCTGTTTCCCCACTTTATTCTTGGTCACAGGGATCAGGGATGGGTTGCTTCGCCATGGCAGCGATCTGATGCCGGATGTGAAAACACGAAACCCCCAACAGAACTGTGGCAGCAAAGACCATCCGCACCTGGGATCTCCTGGTTTGAGCTCGTGATCTCGGAACATTTGTTACAACCATCCCGTATCTCTGTATCTCACAGGCCTTGGTTGAGACATTTTAAGGATTTGTAACACTACCCTGGGAGAGTTGGGGAAAATCATAGCCCCATTAGCTCTCTCTTTTTCTTTCTCTGAAAAATATATATATAGCTAAGCTACATAGTTTTACAACTGCCACAACCCATAGTTAAACTTATAAACCAACTTAGCTATCTCGGGGGCCCCGCCATATAGTTCCGTGATATTGGTCTCATCATCACCCCACCAGTGCAACCATCGCTCAGCTGCGCTGAATTCCAACTCCGTATACTGGACACGACCCACAATGGCTCTGCCAGTGGTCGCGGTGACCTGTTTTTAGCGGTCGCCCTTTGGTCCAAATATCGGAAGACGTGGGTAGTATTGATGGAAAGGAAATGACATCAGTGAAGTCTGACGTGGGCAGCTTACACATTTCTAATTTCATAAAATTTCATAAATGGTTTTCAAACCGATTTCTGGATGGTTTCAAGGCGTTTTGCACCATAGCTAAACCCCAATTTGTGGTGAAAAAACATGATACCCGGCATGGTCCAGTCTCCAGCTGGTCATTTCCCATCTTTGCTCGACTTCACCGTCTCACTGCGAGTCAGCGTGGCTTGGCCCGAAGAGCCGCGCGAGCTGAAGGCCGCGTAGTACCTGGGGGGCCTATAGATGACCTATACGGACGGTGATTTCATGCGATGTCCTGGTGATTTCATATGGATTTTGTGGGGATTCATGATGTTATATTGGGGTTGGACTGGGCTTGGATAAATTGTGACAAATTCCAAGCAAATAATTCTGATTTTAATGGTGTTTCATGGTGATTGAACAGAATTTCTGGGTGTTTAATGGAGGTGTAACTGATACCAACAAATTGTCCAGATGTATAGTTTGACTAAATTTTGGTTAAACAGTTCGAAGTAGCTGGGATATAAGAGGTGTGATCCCAACATATCTCAGTTGAGAAGCTATAGACTAACCATTGAATACATTCAATTCCAACCAGCAAACAGGCTCTAACAGAAGGCTAAGGTGCTGCTCCATGGGCGACTTGCCGCCAAAGAGGAACTTCATGTACCAGGCGCAGAACTCGCCTTGGGGATGCAAACATAGGGATGATGATTCATGATGAAAGTTTTATAACCGAGTGGGTGGCAATCTCCCGCAGTAAAATCCAGCAAATAATCAATTGATTCCAGAATGAGGTGCCAAAATCATCAACACACTTTCTTTCCATCTGGCCCCACCAACACAAACGTACAACCATGTCCAAACAATCCAATTGGAAGCAGGAAAGCTTCCCTTTCCTCAACCAATTCCAAGATGAGTCACCGAAACTCACCAAGCCAGACTTGTCAGTGTCGATCTCAATCCTTGGTGGGAGAAGAAATGGTCGGTAATTAGTATTGCTTATCTCTTACCATTCTTACCTATACCGCCTATACCGTGCAAAAGGTGGTGAATCCGTACCAATGTCTAGAACACAAAATGATATCTTAGCCTAACAAACAAGGTTGCGAACCTTTTTCTTGGAGAGCTGATCCACTTTAGATCCGCCCCAGTGTAGCTGGAAGCCGATTCGCAATCTCAATGTGCCACTCCTTTGGCGGTCATTTTACTCAAATGCACATCCAATTCTTGGAGATTCAGTTGACTTCATCTGCTCTAGTCTTCAACTTGACAAACTGTGATCCAACTCAAATCCGGTCATATCCCAGAAAATCAGTCACGAACCAACCAGAACCATAACTGCGCGCACCTCCTTTGGCGCGCGACTCAGATAGTAAGTGACAGACAAACACCTTCTAAAGCACTTCCTACGGCTTATGAATTACTGTCCAAGCAACCAAATTATAACAAAAAGATACAACAAGGTCAAAGTATCAAACTACCCATCCAAAGTTTACCTAGAGATACTGCAACACACAACATATACCTACGTGTATCATCTATCTATGGCCTATAGCACTGACATATTCACCCCACTCATCAAAGTTATCTAACCTCTTCCCTCCCCAAACATCCCCAGCAAATCCTGTCCACCGAGGCGCCAGAACTTCTGCACCACTTTGTCGGGCACGGCCTCTGAGCCGGCAGGGCTCAGTTCGCGCTGGATCAAACGGGTGAACTCGTTGTAATCCAAGGCACCTTCGGGCGCCATATAGGGCTCATGGGGGCCAGCTGTCATGGCTGAAATCATGAAAATCTGGTTTAAAAGAAGGGGCGTGATCCAGCAAAATCAATCTGATCTTTGATATTTTCTGGGGTTGCAATCAGCAACAAGCATGGGTGGATAAGGTGCACACCGGGTCAAGGCTCATTTTGGGGGGCCATGCATTCAAAAATTCATGCCGGGAATCTGTGAAAACTGACCCAAAAAATTAAACGTGGCAATCAGATGTAGGGTTGTTTCATGTTACAGTATTTTTCAGATCCATTTCCTAATGTTTTCTTGAAGGTCCAGAGTCAGATTCTTTAACATTTTCAACTATTGAACTATGGATTCTCCTCCCTGCCGAGTGACCACTCTTATCAAGGTCAAAGCCTTGGCACACAAGTTGGGAGTCGGTGGGTAGCTTGGAACATGGAGATATGGCATGGGTTTAAAATGCTTGGGTCAAATGCAGGACATAAATTTACTAAAAAATGACAAACGCAACAATTTGATATTATGATATATTCTGTCTATATTTGTTGGGGGTAAGTTCATTGCAACCAATTCAGTCCACTCACTGATGTGGGCAAATGCAATCATTGACAAATCAGAAGTAAAACACTTCTTGGGATACTATACCTCGATATGTCTGACATTCCTTGAACTATAATTCATCCGAAACCATCATCTACCGGTCATGGTGAGGTCTGAACACATTTCATGGCATCGATCAGCTAACTTCCCATTTTAGTTGGGCTTCGTGCCGAGCGCTAATGCCGAGCTGCTGGAATATCGTGTCCAAAGACTATCCACCTTGAAGAAATCCTCAGCCCACAGGTGCTGGTGCTGTGAAGATCATCACCGCCGGGGGTGAAATTAACGGACCACCTGGTTACAGCCGCGGTGCCAAGTTGAGTTTCTTGGCGATGCTTCGGATCATTCCTTCATGGGGCGGCACCTCAACGGTAACCAAATGGACGACACCCAGAGACCACCATCTGCTGGGTGGAACATGTGGTTGATAGTGGCATCTTTGGGTTGCGCGTTTTGAGGGATTTAAACAAGGTCATAAGTCATACCGTTGTCTTCAGGTAGTTTCAACAACTGGTTGTGAGAAACTGATTCTTTGAGCAAATTGTCTTCGAGTCGTAGTGGTGCCTCACGTGGGATCGTTCTGTTCTAAACCTCAGTTGACCTTCTCGTGGTGAAACAAGTCACTGGTGTCTCCTGACATGTTTTGCCACCGCATGGTTCTTCTAACCAAAAAAGAGGGCCGGTTGATTTCATGTTGGACCTGGGGGCAAAGGTGCTAAGATGTGCTGACACAAAGCTTGAAACTGCCATATGAGTCTGGCTCAGGAGGGGAGTTACGTCAACATGTTCTTTTTTTATGTGGGGTATTCGGCATATATGATGATTAACCAGTGGATTTGGGGATATACAATAGGTAATTTTAATGAAAAAACTCAAGATCAAGCAAGTGGAAACTGTGCTCTGCCGCCCCAACAAACACATTTTCATTGGGATATACGGATATACAATGAACCATCAAATATTCACTGGTCATCATTTTCCTCACAAAAACCAAACAACAGGTAATTCAGCGTAATTCCCCTCAGCCCGCAGATATAACTCCATCCAAAGCCATGGGTTGGTGCAATTTTATTCGCGCGGGCAACGGTAAAATCCACCATAATCCACCATCTTCGGCACCTGCTCCAAGCTGATGAAGCTGGTGCGGTCCGGGTTCCCGTCGATGCGGAAAGCCTTGCAATACCTGGGCGGCCGGTCTTTCGAGGTCCAGGGGATGGGCAAGAAATGGATGTCTCTGAAAATAAAGCTTCGAAATGGCCATCTCGATAAGAATATGATTATCAAATCATCAACATTTATCAACATATATCAACATTTTCCAGCTTGCCATGTTTGATTACCGGGTATGTCTTGAGATCAACTGAACATGATCAGCATCCATCAACCATCAAAATTAAGGGTACCCATGGGTAAAGCAAACATGTTTGGGAAATTCTGGCGTGAAGCCACATGGAACCTGGAACTCAGAGCTGCCTTGATAACTCCGAGGTTGGCAGGTTTTGGCGATTCGCATAGTCTGGGATGAAGCCGTCCTCCTATTCCAAGCTCTTGATGGTTTAAATCTCATAGTTTTCTGAACCGTGCGGATTGACTCGCGCACTCTCTGTCCATAGCACTTCTTTATTCTCTTTATTAGCTCCGGTAGTTCTCCTGTAAACGAAGACGATGCATAATCCCTTCCTCCTAATACTAAACGTCCCCCTAATACTAAAAACAGGCATCCATCTCCAATTTCCGAAAATTTCAGTTTGGCCAATTTGACTTTTAATTGATCCCCTTTAAAAAACAATTTAAAAATCAACCTACCATTTGTGGGTTCTCCCCCCTAATACTAAAAACTAGTTCACCCCGGGGTGTTTAGTATTAGGGGGGCCTAGTCCCAATCCCTCACTCCAAGCTGCCTGGCTACTCTAGCAATTAGGGGTAAGCTTCGAACTGCCATTTTTGGCAATATTTTAATTGCGTTATATAAGGAAATTTAATTGATTTTGAGATCGGAAAAAATAGTTTTTAGCATTAAGGGTTTTAATTTAGTATTAGGGGTAAGCTTCGAACTGCCATTTTTGGCAATATTTTAATTGCGTTATATAAGGAAATTTAATTGATTTTGAGATCGGAAAAAATAGTTTTTAGTATTAAGGGTTTTAATTTAGTATTAGGGGTAAGCTTCGAACTGCCATTTTTGGCAATATTTTCATTGCATTATATAAGGAAATTTAATTGATTTTGAGATCGGAAAAAATTGTTTTTAGTATTAAGGGTTTTAATTTAGTATTAGGGGTAAGCTTCGAACTGCCATTTTTGGCAATATTTTAATTGCGTTATATAAGGAAATTTAATTGATTTTGAGATCGGAAAAAATAGTTTTTATTATTAAGGGTTTTAATTTAGTATTAGGGGTAAGCTTCGAACTGCCATTTTTGGCAATATTTTAATTGCGTTATATAAGGAAATTTAATTGATTTTGAGATCGGAAAAAATGGTTTTTATTATTAAGGGTTTTAATTTAGTATTAGGGGTAAGCTTCGAACTGCCATTTTTGGCAATATTTTGGTTCCCTAATAATAAATACCGCCCTAATACTAAAAACTACTTGCCGTGTTTTGTATTAGGGGGGGGGGGTTTAGTATTAGGAGGAAGGGATTACAATGCATCTTTGTTTGCTTCATGGTATGTTTTGGTTGAAGACCTGAACTTGGAATTGTTGGACTAGACATGACGCCTATAAGGGGAATTTGGCATGGTTTTATAACACATCCTTACATTTGGGTTTCAAAAATTGCTCTCCCGTAAATGTCGCCTGAAACCACTCCAGTGATTCAATTGAGCATTTCCCGTCCTGGGTTACACATCAGGGCCCCCACATGCCCCCACCAAGGACGCCCCTTCCCAACCAGGAGACCACTGTTGAAACTCGTCGAAGGAAATCTGTCCGGTGCCGTCTTGGTCGATATTGTCCCAAATCTGCCAGATTTCCTTCCTCAGTGGAGCTGATCATCCGAGGATGGGAGGAAAAAAGCTGCTGATTAGCTGGTCAAAAAGGGTTCCTACACACAGAAGGCGTAGTTTGTTTCTGGGGTTTCTCAAAGGATCGAGAAACTCTAAGGTGGGGCCCTACAACTCAATGGGCTCCCAACCCACATGAACTCCTCTGCGACCCACAGAAACAGTAGTTCAAATAGTCAAGGCATGATAAAGCATGAACATATCTAATATAGCAACCTCCAAAAAGGTAGACAAGTGTTTACAGGATGATAGTTGGATGGTATGTACTGTACCTCACACTTCCGGGTTTCCAACTTTTCAACACATATTCTTGGATGGCTAAAGATCATGTCTGGCTGCAGGGCACATCATCCGATGGTACATCCACCCTTGAAGTCTTGCTGCGGCCAAACCATGGCCAATCTTAGGAGGCCAAAACGCGTCAACGTTGAGCGGAATATCACGCATCTTCTTGATCCATGAGAGAAAAAAAGCATACAATAGCTAAACAATCAATCAACATCGCTCATTTTCGTCTACCATTCACCTACAAATCGGCCCAAATACTTTCCTACCCATTGTTTCTGGTAAACTCCCTCATCTTTCCCGTTCACCATGGTTCATTATCCCATGAAATTCCCTCTTGGGGGAGTAGTCCACTAACAAGTGGGTTAGATATGGTATATGATGTTATAACATGAACATCGGTGTGTACTGTAGGGTTATATCAGTTGTATCCCAACTCATGGTAGTTATTTTGGTTATTTAGTAGTAGATTTTAGTAGCTAGATTATATTTATTAATTACCCAAGGGCACCCCCAAGCCGCTTGGTGAAATCTGCAACCCAAGGATCTTGTCCATGGAATTGCCTGGTCTCTTCAGCACCCGCGTCAACAGCGGCACAAATTCCTCCGGGTCGATGAGACCAGAGCCGTCCTTGTCCTTGGTCAAGTGCTTTCTGTGGGGGTCGCCGCCAGAAACCTACCATTGATCCATTTGGGGATGGTTGAAAACTGCAAACAAATCTGGTTGGTGGTTGACCTACCTCTCTGAAAAATATGAGTTCGTCGATGGGAAGGATGACATCCCACATACCTACATCCTCATGGTCTGCTTTTTTTTGGGCGTTTCGTGAAAATGCAATAATTTTGGTTGCTTCAGGAAATTTAAGTCGTTTCAGAAAAAAAAGGTCGTTTCGTGGAATTCTGCTCTTGACCCTGGCCCTTCACCCTCATAGGAACAGGATGTAGAACATGCTGACTGCCACGCAATTTATTTGACAAAACTTTGTTGCACTCTCAGAGTTCAAGATCATTCTCCCGTTACTTAAAGCCAAACTATGCCAAACTATTCGAATGAGGCTTGTCCAAGGACCCATTGCCGGTACATAGGTTACTTTGGTTCTCCCAGGGCAGTGGTTTATGCCCCTCAAAAAATAAAGGTGATTCAACGAGAAAATGTGCGTTTTCGCTTGGAAAAAACGCTTTTTCGCCGGGCAAAAGCGCTTTTTCAATCTTTTTCATGTTTTTCAATATTACATTCATGAGTTATTTGTTTCGTTGATAATGCTGGAACGTTCGTGCACAATCATTCCAGACACCCAACCAATCAAAAACTAGCTATTGACAATACCAGGCAACACAAAAGGGCGCAAACGAAATCAGGTAGCACTCTCTGGAGCTCAGAAGGTCCGTTGGAGCAATAAGACTCATGTAAACTGTCAATTTCTGAAAAAATCAGTTCAACCATCTTAAAATGGAAAAGTGCTCGCAGCCAGAAAAAGTGCCGTTTCAAAAAAATATCACATAATTCTGAAAGAGCAATATTTTTGCGCGCTTTCGAGGTTCTAGGTATGATGGAAAAATAAAAAATGTTCCGAACCACCAAACAAATATGGTGATGACTTGTGGATCTTATTCATGCCCCTTCAAGAAAGCTGCTCACCTCTGACGCCGGTCACAGGAAGGGAAATGAATGGAAATGAGATCCTGAGAATGTCCGAACGTCATTTTACATGATCCCAAATCGGTGGGTATCGTCAGTAATTACATGTAGTAAACCTCTTCTGGGGATGATTCATTAACGGGTACACCACATTAGTTGTTGTCTGTTGTTGTATCACTTGTCTTGATACTGTCCCTCATAGCTTCGGAACAGTGGCACGAAGCCCCCAGCTGTGTCCAAGCGGCATAGAAATCAAAGATCCGTCGCAACTCGGCCAGATCGGTAACGATCTTGGTGGATTCTCGCCTGAGGTCTTCCCACCCCGCGGCCACCCCGGGGGCCCCTGGTAGAACATCTCCTGGAACCTGCTTGGAAGGTCCTTCAAGTCACTGTGACGTCGGCGATCCCGTTTCTGGAGGGCTGTTGGGGGAAGGGTTCTAACAAACAAAACATCGAAGCCTAGAACCACAATTGACACCCTTTTCTAGTGTGCAAAAGGAACATTGATCTAGAGCCGAATGGGCCTCGAACCGGCAGCACTTCCAAATGCTTAATTTCATCTGTGGCCAGCGTAAATCTAAGTAATTATTTTGCAGGCTCAATACCGTCAATGCAGGCCGGTCGCTGGCAACAAACAAGAAGGAGAATTTCTGCGGCTCATTTTCAGCCGAGTGTCTTGGTGACGCTTAGAGGCATCGCTTGTCGAGAGCCTTGGGGTGAGAGTTGCATCATGTTGGTTCTGTGTCACCTTCTGAAACTCTCCCACATTAGCATTGTCCGGGTAGAAGGGCATTGCAGCCATCAAATGGATGAAACAAATTTGGATAAACATCCACTCATGCCTAGGAAAATGCATCTGTTCATACCTTTTCCATGCTTTTCCTATTCTCTTCGTATACCTTTGCTCAGAGGGAATCCAATCGAACCCAGTGCCTGGTGATATCGCCCATTTAATGACATCACCATTCATCACCAACAACCATCTCGAGGTCATGGTTGAAATCCCGCTGGCCCATTGGAAACTTTGCCAACCAAATGCCCATGTCCAATCATGTCTATGGGTCACACGTCCTTTTTTTTTGCTGGTTGAAAGAAGGAAGCACTGTTCCGACAAACCTTGTTTTGGAGAGATCACAGACAAAACGGGATACACCACACGAATTTTCCTTGCTCGTTTCCGAGATGGCCGGCTCTACATCCAGATCATCCAGGCTGCTGAATTCTCGCAACACCGCTTTCTTTGTGTTTTGATTCTTCTGCGCCGTCTGGCTTTGTTCCTGCACCTCCTGCGGTTGAAGGAGCGATGACTCACCATCCAAAATCGACAAGATTTCGAGATCTTGGAACTGTGACTGGCACAACCGATCCAATGCACGTCTATCATTGATATCAACATCCAGTGTCTGATAAATCTTGATGGTCAGCCGCATTTACATGCATGGCTTGACCGCAAAGGCATCCTTGGACCTAGAAAACTAGCGGTTCGGAGAGCCCTCCCCCTGGTCCGCCTTGGCTTTCTTGTCATTCCACAGGGAAAAACTGCTCCTAGGTGCGAAACTCAACAAAAACACATGACGTGCTAATGGGCAATACCCACCATGAATCCTGATAAGCCCTGATATTGAAAACCCCAGATAATCATCAATCAAAAGGGTTTTGAACGCTGCTCAACTGATGTTCTTTTTTTGAACATATGGGAGGTTCAGTTTTATACAAACACTATATGTTTTCTGTCCACCAAAGGAAAACAAATCGTAGCGTCGTAGAGCTCTTTTGGGAAATAATTTCAACATGGTTTCATGAAATATTCAGCCATGCGGACCCTTCTCCAAAACATGCAAGTTTGATGTCAATGGTAGCTGTACATTTGTCGTGTCCCAGAAAAACAACCATGAAAACAACACACTATTCAAGCAATGGGTTTGTCTGAAATACTGTGCCGATCAACTCGTTACTCACGTGTTTTCCCATTCAAATTGCGGAATATGTTTGGTATAAGCCATTTTCAGACCAACCCATCTAGCTCAATACCAGAATACCAGCACCATGGATGGCACTGGATATAAGCAAGTGGAATGGCCGGGCCATTCCAGTTCCATCCACTAGCCATTTCCCAAATCCAATACTCGAGATCGAGCTCTTGCGTCCTACAAGCTTCATAACTCCAAAACCTCTTTAAGGCAATGCTAAAAACATGCTAAGTACATAGCCTTCATACACTACAAGCACTTGTAACTTGGGGGTTCATATTCATATATATATATATATAGTGTTCATATTGTTTTTTCCAACATCACATCATGTCTTGATTAATCTTGATTAGCCTCTCGTAAACTAACATGACTATGGAAAATAACTATCTTCAATAGGTAAATCAACGAACTAGATTTCAATAGCAAACTGTTAGTTTACCAGAGGTTATATCCCATTAATATCCCTTTGAATCACTATAAATCACTATAAAATCCAATCAAATCACTGTAAATAATCACTATAAAATCCCATTAAATCACTATAAATCCCATTCAAATCCCATTAAATCACTATAAATCCCATTCAAATCCCATCAAATCACTATAAATCCCATTCAAATCCCATTAAATCATATGGTTTTCGGCCGGTCACCAAGGCGCTTCATGGCCCTCACCCTCCTCTGTGGCGCCCGCGCGAAATCCGCCAGCCGCACGGTGCCGCCCACGGAGCTCAGGCTGTGCTCGGCGCCGGTGACGGTGGCAGGGCGCTGTGGCGCGGCGCGGGGGCTGGAGACCTGCGGATGGCTGGTATGGGGTTAGGTCATGGTGAAAAACCATATATAACCAACCATTGCTAACCCTTGGGCAATATATATATATATATATATGATTATATATACATATTATTTCTAACCATATAGTAATCTTAGAATATACGTATAGTAATTACTTACCATATCACTAACCATATCACTATAGTAATTACTAAGCATATACAGTGTTTGGCCGTATCACTAGAATAATTATAGAAATATCTATCTGGTTGGTGGTTTGGGCCTACCCCTCTGAAAAATGATGGAGTTCGTCAGTTGGGATGATGAAATTCCATATATATATATGGAAAAATAAAAGCCATGTTCCAAACCACCAACAAAATGGAGTAATGAAGTAATGATGATTTTGCCTGGTTTCACCAGAAATGGGGATTGAACTGGCTTAACCATCTTGTTCTAATGAAGTGAAGAGTGGGCTTGGGATTTTAAATCAACTTTTTTAAGAAGTTTTTTAAGAAGTGAGCCGCATGTTTAAGAGTATAGCTGCTTACGATTCGCCCTTATTAGTGGTTGGTGACCTAATCATCCTCTCATGCTGCTAATGCACCCGTAGAGCTGGTATGTTTTTCACTGAAATGGGGCATGAAGAGCCCACGCTGATTTCCATGTTTTCCCAGGATATTTTCATAATACGATTTTTGCCACCCCTCAAACCAAAACTACATGGGAATGAAAAAAAAGATGTGTAGATTTAACCTCAACTGAATTAAACATGGATTTCTGGCGTTCTTTCAAACACTGATATGGAATTGCGTAGTGTAGTTGATGTACTTCATTGCGAATTCCCCTTTTGGGTGATACCCTCTGGTAAACTAACGTAGCTCTCAAAAATCACCGTGTTTGTAGGTAAAACACCTAATTATAAACATTGTGATTTTTTAATTCCTGCGCAAAAGATTAGGCGTGCTAGTTCGTATCTAACCAGTGGCTTAACCCTGTTATATATTTGGCAAATCATCCCAAAATTATCGTAAGAAAGTTATATGGAATGATTAGTGTGGAAATATATGATCCCCTTCTTATCCCCTTATTATATCTTATTATATCGTATTATATATTATAATATCTGATTATATCTTATTATATCTTATTTTTTTCTTATTATATCTTCTGTTTATATCTTATCATATTTTATTATCCCATATTCTCCTTTATTCTCCCCTTAACTATCCCCTGTCTTAAAATATGTGCCATGTTCCAATGAAAACTATCGGTGCTCCAGGAGATTGAGGGCCGTTCTTATGGCCGAATCCCGCCGCCTCTCGGTTCATCACCAGCGTCATGGCCCTTTTGACCTTTTGCCTCGTATCGCGGGTGGCAGGTCAACCGGCCCTAGATTAGTGATTTAATGATTTTAATGTGATTTATAGTGGATTGATTGGATATTTCGGATGGTTCCTGTAGCCCAATGGGGTTCAAATGGGATTTTTTAATGGTGATTTAATGGGATATTAATGGGATTTACTGATATACTCTCCGGTAATTTGCGATAGCTGTGGAAAATGGATTTAATGGCCTAGTTATAGATGATTGAACTATGAACAAGGGCTGAGTTTCCAGTTTACTGGAGGGTATTTCCTGTAGATTGTCCCTTTCCTGAAGGTAGTGAACCTGTGCTCCAAACCAAGTATTGGGAAGTTCGACAAGCGAACATCTCACAGGTGAGCATTCTTTGTTAATGTTGTTAATTACTCGTTTAAACCCATCCTGACTTGAACAGAACATCATGGTAAGGCACAACCAGTTCGTGTGAGTGTGTCTGTTGGACACTTATGGCTGAAGTCCAAAACCTTCCCTTCGTGATGCTCTGCAACTGTTTCGTGGGCGTGACAAGCTACAAAATCACTGATGCTGGCTACACACGGTCCTGCACTTGTGGAATCCCGCATGGGCATGGGTCCACATGTGGCATTTCCAAAAATTGATGATTCATGTCCCCCCCATACCCCGCCAAAAAATACAACGTACTTCTCGGGATCTTAAAGCTTCACTCCTACTGCATCCAGATCCCACGCTGCCGCCCAGTTTCAAGCGATTGGGTCTGGGAGTCACCGGTTGCGGCACGTCGGTTTTCGCAGCCATGACCTTGAGACGATCCCTCAATGCCTGGGGTATCTGGGGATAAGTTGGAAGGAAGCATCGCCTGGATATACACATCATTCTACTCCCATGGTTGATCAGTAGTAACCCAGATCTAAAAATTATATCCAATTATCATACAATACTAATTACTGATAGTAAGCATACATATCCCATATGATCCATGGATTGTATGGACTATTTGCCTAAACTTGTGTCACTTAGGGGCATACCTGGATAGTATACGAACTATGCCAAGTCCCCAAGGTCATTATTATAAGTAGACTATCCGAGCAAACTAAACTATTATACTAACCATACCAATTAGCCACTTCAACTACCAATTAGTAGTACCACGCAGTCACCATAAACCATATATGAACTATACAATTAGTAACATACCGTTGTTAACATTTGGTTTATGGTGGGGAATGATGCAATCATAGAAGAAATGCTCTAGTTAACTAATGGTAAAGCATCCAAATTAATGTCTTAATGCTGTACTAATTCATCCCATCCCCCTGATTTTTTTCAGATTATAACCCCCCATTCCATGGTTTTTAAAATGTGGTTTGATCCATTTTGACCCCTTACTAAACCATTATTTTTTTTTTTCGGGGTGTCTGATCTTGGGTGGATGGGATGTGGCTCAAAATCGGGTAACCCAACAAGAATTGGATGATTCTCTTCCTGGAAATAGAAGAAACTCTGTGGTCCAGGTCTTGAATGTTGGCCAAGAACTGGACCAATAATTGCAGCTAAATCATTGCTAAATAGTGGCTAGATTGCTATAGTCACTATTTGATAATACTCTATTGCAACTATTTAGTTTTGCTGACTAGTCACCCTCAACAGTGACGATTTGTATTATCAATACTTTGGTTATTGCTGATGGTTTTGGAAAAGTACAATACTTTATTTTTAAACCAATGATGGTATGCCTAAGTAAAGAATGATAATAAATCAATGGTTACTTTAGTTATTGTACTATCACTGGCATTAGCTGCTAAAAATATACATGACGGTATGATAGCAAATATTTTGATACATCATAGTCACTATTATAACATATACGGATAATAGTTTGAATATGATAGTGTAGTAACTATACTATGATAGTAACAGTTGTAAGCATGTGAATAAGTATATCTGGATGATATACCATTAGTGTTCACCATCGTGGTATAGTACACAAATATCATACTGGTAAATACAACTATTGCAAAATTGCATCATATAATCCTATCAGTAAAGAATATTATATAAATATATCATGTAATTCCTCAGTTTGTATTGCGTCATTAATATTATAAATGAGGTAAACATTTCCCACATTATTGCATGATTGTGTATTGTAATACTATGATGATATGATGATAATGATCAAGACTATTATGGAATACTAAATTTGTCAGTACGATGCTTAATTATACATTTATACCATTGGATACCGTTATTTAATCATTCAAAAGTACTATTATTGGACCCCCAAAATCACCATAACTAGTATAATATTCCTACACTACTACATGGTATTATACTACTGTGATTCAAAATCAGTATAAAAAAGATAATATAATGTATATACTATACTGTATATGCCATATATATATATACACTAATGACTTGATGGGAAAATATGCAATCATTGGATACCATTAGTGAAATACAACTAATACGATCTATAACAGTGTGGAAGAATACCAGCAATCATTGCATCTAGCATTATCAATACCATCAACCATTATTATAGGATCCCCCAAATCATATAAATGTTGTACTGATATGCTAATTTGATAGAAAAATCATACTATGATGACTCACAATACCCTCTGGTAACTAACATAACTATGGACAATCACCACTTTAATAAGTAAATCAACAATAAATGGCCAATGTTCAATAGCTATGTTAAATTACCAGGGGGTAGTGATTAGCATTATTAGTTTCAACCCCTCTGAAAAAATATGAAAATCAGTTGGATGATGACATTCCCAATATATGGAAAAATAAAAGCCATGTTCCAAACCACCAACCAGGTTCCTTCCCACCAAGTCACCATCCCCGAGCGGTTGGAGCTGCGACTGGACGGCGTCGCCGCCTCCTCCAGCGGCGGCGGCGGCGCCGGCGGCACTGCCGGGGCTGGGCCCGGCGTGGCGGACATGGCGCGGGGCGCCAGGACCAGGCCTTGTTGGGGAGATCTGGTGGGAAACCTATGGAAACCATTGGAAAAAGAAGGGTTTTCGGTTGGTTT